GGGAGGGAGGGAGGGGGGGGGGAGCGAAAACCGATTTAAGCCCACCCACCCCCCGGCCGAGGATGCGGCATCTTCAAGGTGACCCCTACCTTCACAAGCGGAAAGCAGCGACGCTCCATCTGGAAGGCCTGGCTCGCCCTGCTGCCTATCGGTTCACAGCCGAGGACAGCCCCACGACCCCAAGCGTCACTCCGCGGGAGCTTGGGCAAGCCGGGACGCAAAGCTCGCCGGCACCGGCCGCTCTCGCCTTCTCTCCATTCCCACCGGGCTGGCATCCGAAAGCCTCTTTCTCCAGCCCCAGCCGACGGCCCCTTCCCACCCGTCGCCCGTTAAGCCGCCTCTGAACCCGGCTCTGCGGTCCGGCGTATCAGAAATGGGGACGACAACAAAGAGCCCAGCGGCGATGGCTTCGCAGCCTTCCCAGCTGAAACCGGGGAGATGCCCAGTGCCCAACCGGAGCTGTCCCTCGCGCGCCCCCTCCTGCCTGCACGGCAGATCGCACCAGCCTGGCAGAAACGGCTTTGGCGCAGGGCGTCCCACGGCGCGAGACTGCAAGAACCAGCCGCGGGCGCAGCAATGCGCAAAATTTCCACGTCTCCGGCCGTGCGCGGCTGTGACGCAAGGGCGCCCGAGGGCGGCCCTCAAGGCTTCCGGTGGAAGGCTGCATTTTCGGAGTGAAACATCTATTTTCTGCCTTCCAGACCTTCCCATCAGTTCTGCTGAGTTTTGCAGTTGTAGGTGCGCATGGAGAGTTTGCCCCTTATTTTATTCAAGGATTGCTAACAAACCGGGAGGGGTGTGTGTGGTTGTAGCCCTGCGCCTGTAGCTTTAACAGCGGCTGGCTCTGCAGAAATCAGCAGGTGAACGTGGAAGGCGGCATGCTGGGAAAGGCTCAGGCGCCAATTAGAAGCAAGCAAATTTGCTCTTCACACACAGAAAGAGCCTGAACACATCACCAAATAGAGAGGAGGATGGAGGTCACTACTAATTTTTAGTTATCTGACATGACACTACTAATTCAACCCACCTAATAGATATATCATAATCAAAGACATTTCCCCAACATTTCAGGCTACTAAGCATAGTGTATAATTCAATGTGCGAGGTTCTACTGTTGCTTTAACTTAAATTTTTAAATTGCAATTTAAAATAGGATTTTATTAAGATGTGTTTGGACTGCAAACCTGCAGCAGAACAGCAACTCCTTTTATATATCCACAGACCAATACCTCTTAAAGGGTACTGCATGGCTTTTGAATGGTGGGGTTTTTTTTGAGCAAATGACACCAAATATGCAGCAGTTAGTGCTGTCCATTCACTAACCCAACCCCCCCCCCCCCCGTTTTTTTCTGAACAGGCCACTGAACGAGGTACCCTCGACCATCCTCCATTGTCTCCTATGGAGAAAAAAAATCCCATGCTTTCTCCAGGGCAAAGAATAGCCAAACACACAACAGCCAGAAATCACTGGCCAAAAGCTTCCCAATGTGAAGAGAACCCCCAACAGAACCAACATCAAACTAGAGACTCCCAGCAGAACCACTGGCCAGTGTGGCGAGCCCAACATATTCACTATTCAACTGGAGAAATAAATTTATTTTATTTATTTGTGTTATTTATAGTCTGCCTTTCTCACTGGGACTCAAGGCGGATTACACAGAGAGAGTCAATACAATCAACAGGATGGCACATAAAAACAACAACAAGGAAATAGGATTGCGGTCGTACAACCAATCAGAAGTCTAAAAAACAGTACTGAAGCAAAGCATAGTGATGAAAATTACATGCTGGGACAGCAAACTATGCACAGTAGTATAGACCACAGACCCTAATGATTTCTCCAAGTAGCTTTGTGAATCATTTTGTACAGTGCTACCCTATTGCTTGCGTACAAAAGCCCTCTTGGATAATTCAGTTTTGCATTGTTTGCGGAAAGCCAGGAGAGTGGGAGGGAGCCTTCCTGACCTCCTCAGACAGGCCATTTCACAAGGCGGGGGCCACAACAGAGTAGGCCTGTGTATGCATCCAAGCCAAAACCGACTGAAACAAGCAAAGGGACACTATTTCTGTTGGCAGAGTTCAGAAATTATCCAATCCACGCTTCAGAGTTTGCTTTCACTGAATTGACTGCAACAGGATTTTTCAGTTATTATCTTCCTGAACTCTGCCAACAATTTCTAATCCAACAGAACCAATGTCAAACCAAAATATCCCAGCAGAACCAACCTGGCAAGCTCCCTCGACATCTGATTGCATTTCCCTGTGACAGTTACCTCCCCCCCTTCCTGTTGCCCAGGAAACCTGCAAAAGGTACAAACCCCTCCCCTCAGTTTTGGAGCTTTAAAATGCTGACCCCAGATATTCTTGCATAGTCCCAAATATTTCCAGGAATATGTGAGATTGGGGTTTGGGTACTGTCATAATTCCCAAATATCTATCTGAATCCCAAACATATCCAAAAATACTGATATTTTTTTATATATATTCAGATGGGATATATCCAAGCACTCATTCCTAGTAGTGAGTCACCCGTGTAAGCTGTGTAGTGGCCATCGTCAGGCTGGAAAAGGCACACAACCTGCACAGCAGCAAGTCGCCCAGGTGAGTCACTGTTGCTGCCACTGGGCCTAGTCTCCTTCTGCAGGTCGTGAAGGAGCAAGTCACCTGTCCTAGTGATGAAGGGGCCACCACCAGGCCCAGCTGCTCAAGTTGCAGCAAGTTGCATGAATCACATAGTAGTTGCTGCTGGGTCCAAGCAGGCTGTGTAAGTTGCAGAGTGGTGAGTTATGTAGTGGTTGCTGCCAGGCTTGGCCCCTCGGACAAGTCATCCCTCCATCAGGGAACACGGCAGAGGAGGGCTCAAGGCCCCTTTCCAGGGCTGTTTTGACTCCCAGTCCACTGCTGTTTCTGCCCCCCTTCACCACTGACTGCCAGAAACCAAGATGTGGAAGCTTTAAAATGCTGGCCCCAATATTGTGGTTGCCTAGTAACCCCCACAATGGCCACTGAGATCTCAGCACATAGTCTCAGAAGATCTCTGTATGCATTCCTTTCTTAAAATTATAGAAACTGCTTCTGCTATTGGGGGGGTATACCCCCAATGTGTTTTTAAATTTTTGATTGCAACATTTTCTGCAAACTTGGGGCTTCCCTCAGGTTTGTAGACAGCCCCCCCCCCCAGCTCCATTATAGGAATTTTCAATCCACACTATGTGGCCAGGTTCAGCATTAGAGGCAAGGATGAGATTTTAGCATAGAATCAATTATTTTTTTAAATCCAAAAAAGTTCTTTGAATTAACTGGGGGACCCCGTCACTCCTTGGCAAATAGAAGGGGAAGTTGTGGAAGTAGTGACAGACTTCACGTTCCTGGGATCCCAGATCACCGCAGACTGTGACAGCAGCCATGAAATTAAAAGACACCTGCTCCTTGGGAGGAAAGCAATGGCGAACCTAAACAGCATGATAAAAAGTAGAGACATCACCCTGCCAACAAAAGTCCGCATGGTCAAAGCAATGGTATTCCCAGTAGTCATGTATGGCTGCAAGAGTTGGACTATAAGGAAGGCCGAGCGCCGAAGAATAGATTCTTTTGAACTATGGTGCTGGAGAAGACTCTTGAGAGTCCCTTGGACTGCAAGAAGATCAAATCAGTCAATCCTAAAAGAAATCAACCCTGACTGTTCCCTGGAAGGCCAGATAATGAAACTGAAGCTCAAATACTTTGGCCACCAAATGAGAAGGGGGCACTCACTGGAGAAGACCCTGATGCTGGGAAAGATTGAAGGTCAAAGAAGACGGGGACGGCAAAGGATGAGATGGTTAGACAGTGTCATAGATGCAGCTAACATGAAATTGAGCAAACTTCAGAGGACGGCGGAAGACCGAAAGGCCTGGCGTGATCTGGTCCATGGGGTCGCAAAGAGTTGGACTCGACTGTGCGACTGAACAACAAAAAAATGTATGCTTACCCCAACACCCTGAATTTTTTAAAGCACATACTTCCATCAGGCAAAAGAAAGATAATTCAGCTGATAACTAAATACCCAAGCAAATTCTCAGCTGTTCTTCAGGTTTTCTTGCATGCTTCTCGGCCTTTTGGCTAAGATCAAGTCTAGTATCTTGCATGCTTACTGGATGACTAGAGATGGTCCAGTTCTTTAGAGATGTCACCAATGTGTGCCCTCTTGCTCATGTGGGAAAGGAGTGATGCCATCTACCCCATGACCCAAAGCTTTGCTGCTGCACAACCCTTCCTTAAAGCTAGAGTCTCACTGGTGCAACCACAGCACCTGACCAGCACAGGCTGTCTCTTCTGATGACACCTGCAGTCTTCAAAGGGATGCAAAATCCAGAAGGAAAAAAATGAGAACATTTATTGCTAGACTGTAAAATCTCACTCTTATTTTGACAGCCTTGGGATCTGATAGGACAAAGTTTGAGTCCAGTGGCACCTTTAAGACCAGCAAAGTTTTAAAGGTGCCACTGGACTCAAACTTTGGTCTGCGGCTTCAGACCAACATGGTTCACCACCTGAATCTATCTTCTTGGGATTTGATGTTCATCGCTTATTACTAAAAAACAACACACACATTTGGCACTAAGCAACCCAAGAGGTCTCTTCAGAAAGCATTACTTTAGGGCTGCCCACAAATCAGCACGTGCTCAGGAAGCATTCCCCCAGACCTTCTGCAGTACCAAACGGGCTACCGTCTTCTTTAACACTTTTGAATTGTGTACTCAGCTCCAGCTAGGGTGGTGGTGGTGGTGGTGCTTTACTGCAACATTAAGAATAGTGAAGCCAGGCTGTAGATGCTCCTGTCCACTGCTTGTTGAATTTCACTCCAAGCATGGTCTGAGCAATCAGTTGCATCAGAATTAAGTGTCCACAGAAGAAACATCATTTCGGGCTCAAGGTGAACGGTGTCACAGTGCAAGGGAGAGAAAGCTTAAGGAACCTCAGAGATGATGTGGAGCGCACTCTTCGATGGCAGCGTAACACACATCCCTGTGGCTGGGGCAGAGGTAGTGCTGCCAGCTGAGGAGATGCCATTAGAACGGGGACTCCTTCTACCAAGGGGTGAATTTTAAGATGATGGATTCGTCATCTTGTGGGATGTAATCAGCGATACCTGCAAGAATAAGAGCAAAGCACAAGGCCATGAGGAGAGGGAGGATCCACTTTATATATTTTATCCTTTTCCTGCTGTAGGAGCACAGAATGCAGTATGGGACTCAGGACTCAGCCTCCAGCAAAACTCGTTGTTTTGTTTTGTTTTTAAAGCAAGTTTCTAGCACTTATGATTGCAAAGATAAGTGTGTGGGTGATGTTTGTAGAAGTTTAAGACTAGTGACGTCGAACAAGATTCTCAGGGGTTCAGGATGGGGTTTCAGGAGCCTCCGTGATTCCTTTCCCATCCCTGCAGCTAGCAAAACTAGAACGAATCATGTAGAATTGTAACAACTGTAGAATAAATGGCACAAAATAAGAAAAGCTGTGTGCAGAAGGATCCGTTTATTATGCTATTCTCACAACACAATCTGTGCTTCTGCTTTTTGCACTGCCACCATAGCATCCAATGGTGGATTTGTGCAGGGGTGATACACAACCTGTGCACGCAAATCGACTCCACTGAAAATCCCCTTTGGGCATTTCAGCAGGATTGGGGAGGGAAGCAAATGCGAGAAGCACCCCTCTGTCACTTGTCCAATGCTATTAGTGCCTGCTGAAGCTGCCCTCAAAAAGTGCTGGGAATGAATGAAATTCCAAAGCTGAAAACAACGGGGGGCACTATTTCCACAACTACAGCAGAAAACCAATGGAGGGTGCATTAACCAGCAAACTGAAAATCTTCCAGGGCTATGTGTCTCGCTACAGATTGATGACCAGTATGAGAGCCAATGTGGAGTAGTGTCACCACTATTTCAAACTAATACCTACAGGATTCTGGTTTAAATTCCCAGTCTGGTATGGAAGCTCACTGGGTGACCTTGGGCCACTCACACAAATTTGGCCTGTGAGCTGCTTTTGGTCCCCTTTGGGGGAAGATGCAGGGTCCAAATGGCGTAAATTATTAAAAGTATCTTCAAACTTCTATCAGTAGCAGCCATGGGATTCTTCCAGTTTGAATGAAGACCACAGCACTGACAGAGGGTGTTTATGTTTTAAAACTTTTTGAGCTAAATAGCACTCTGAGGTGCTGATTTCAATCACAAAAGAGTGGCTTGGTGGTAGAGCATCTGCTTGGCATGCAGAAGGTCCCAGGTTCAATTCCCAGCATCCCTAGTTTAAAGGATGAGGTAATAGGTGACATGAAAAGACCTCTACCAGAGACTCTGGAGAATTGCTGGCAGTCTGAGTAGACAATACTAGCTGTGATGGACCAGTATAAGGCAGGTTCATGTATCCATGTGTGTGTCCATATACTGCCCAGCAATACTATGTTAATCCAAATGTGCACCAGCTACATATAAGTTTAAAGAGTCAGGTGATCCAGTCATGATGAATCTCCAGCAAGAAAATGAATTGTGCCCTCATTTTCCTTCCTTTCTTTTTAAATTCCCTGCATTGTGCAAAACCAGACTCAAGAGAATGTGGGCCCTCGGTAGATTTAGCCAGCTCCTCCACTGGCAGAAAAGGAAGAACCACCAAGGCTATATGCTGGGGATCATGTGGGACATTCATGGACAAAAATAACGTGAGATGGAGGTTGTAGTAAGAAGGGGAACTGGCTGAATTGGGTTGAAAAGCTGGCTGGATCCAACCCCATAGCTGGTGGACACAGGCAAGCATCATTGCTAGTGATCAAGGGCTTATTTGATTAATTCTTAACATTTCTTTTTTAAAAAAATACTTTTTCTTTATTCTACAAAAAACAAACAAACATAAAAGGTAAAGGTTCCCTTGCTCGAAAGCCAGTCGAGTCTGACTCTAGGGTTGCGGTGCTCATCTCCGTTTCAAAGCCAAAGAGCCAGTGCTGTCCGAAGACGTTTCCGTGGTCATGTGGCCGGCATAAGTAAACACCAAGGTGCACGGAACGCTGTTACCTTCGCACCGAAGTGGTACCTATTTATCTACTTGCAATGTCTTGCTTTCGAACTGCTAGGTTGGCAGGAGCTGGAACTAGAGACGGGAGCTCACTCCGTCATGCGGCACCCGGGTTTTGAACTGCTGAGCTACTGACCTTCCACAGCCTGCAGTTCAGTGTCTTAACCACTTGAGCCACCGCAGCTCCAAACAGACATACAAACATATAATCTGGGATAATTTGCATCCATACTATATCCGGTTATTAACCTCATACATCAACCATTTATCCTTACTTTTCAACACCTTATAATGTTTACATAACAAGCTTTGCATACACTAAAGCATGTAATTAATTGTCCTTCTATTTCGGTTATACGCCTGTAAAGATCAGTTACTATTTTCTTCAATCCATTTCTACAATTTGGACCATGTATTTTCAAAAGCTGTTCCATTCTGTCCTCTCAGAACTGAAGTTGGATTGCCCATCTCTGCTGTCTAATTCTTAACATTTCAATACAACTTAGCCAAGTCAAGAAAATGCAAAGCTGTAAAAACAATAGTTTAAAACTATTTAAACCAGTAAACATAAAATCACTGGGAAGTTATCCTGCACAAGAATCATCATTTCACGGGGCCTTGTGCAGAAGAACTCCCTGGTGGACTGCATCCCAAGGTTATGAATGTTGTTCAGATATTCTGCCTTGGTCAGCAAAACCTTCTTGGGTGGGCCTGAACAAACAGCAGCCATATCAAATGTCACCAAGCAAGAGCCATTCCTCGAGGCATCCCGCAAACCCCTGGCCTTGTGCTTCTAATGCTTACCCTGCTCCACAGTGGTGTGTGGGAATTGGAGGATCTTCCAGTACTTGCGCTCTCCTTGCCTCGCTTTCACCCCCATCACTGAAGTAAGCATCGGGCCAGAGAAGGTCTCCTGAGTCTCAAACCTGTTGCACAAAAGAGAGATCAAGAAGAAATAACCAGGCCCTGGTGGCCATGACAGTTTTTATAAAAGCTGTCTGTTCCAGCAAGATGGAACAGCCAAGCCTGCCTCATGTAAACACAGAAGCAAGATCCCTAATGTTCTTGGGCCACCAACAAAAGGAAAGAGATGGACTTTGGGGGTGACAGGCTGTGAAGGAGGGAGAAGTTAATGGTTTGGACTTTAAAAGATCACTGTTCTGTTGTGTTGCTAAGATCTATGTTTTTGTTACATGATACGATGTTAAGTGAAAAGTAAAATTATTTTATTCTCTTTGAATTATTGCAAGACTAGAAATAAGGCCCGTTGTGGAAATAAATACAACGAGATCTAGAAAGAGGCTCTGGGAGAGTGCTCTGGCTTTGGGCACAGTGTCAGTCTGCTTTTAAAACATGAACCTGGGACCTGCACAGCACCACAATACAGCAGGTTCCATATGCAACTGACATTCCAACTGCCTTGCGGGGGTGGGGGGGAGTTTGAGGTGTGGAATGGAGTGAAGTCCAATCAGCTTCCATATGCAAAAGACCAGGTTGTCGCAGCAGTTGTGGTGTGGGCGGGACCCGGGCTTTGCCTTCTGATTGGTGGCGATATATGCTGAGGAGCAGTGCCATCAGCCATACACTAAGGGAGTGCATTTTAGAATTAGAACTTTGGCACCCACTATTCAATTATATATAAGGAGAGATTCATTCCAAGTTCTGCCCCATAGAACCCACAAACTGAGGATACACATGCTTATCCCAACCCACTCCCTCTTTTAATTCCCTGCCAGAGGAAGAGCATCTCACGAGAATGGCTTGAAGCTCCATTTCTCGGCAGCTTTCAGCACGTCTAGCAAGGAGGAGCCGGCAGGAACTCGGACGAAATCATTGTACAATGGCAAACTACGTGGTGGACGTTTCACAATCAGATGGATGGTGATCTTTGTATCCTGGGAGGTCACCCTTGGCTCAGGAGCAGAGGTGCCCAGCACCAAACTGTCTGAGGAGGCAAAAGTGGAGAATCAGCAGTCAAAACTCCTCCTGGGGGCATCTTCATTGCGTTGCTTTCCCTGCATCTTTCATTCAGCGCCAGGCTCACCTTTCTAAATGGGTCTCCTCTTCTTCTAACCTCCTTTGAGGGAACACACCCTTTTCTCTTATTAGGATTTTGGCCTTTTACTTTGTATACCAGGGAAGCATACAACACAGGGCCCTTTCAATATGCCCAGATCTCATTTTGTATGAAAAGGCCGAGGATATATTTTCCAGATTTGGCAAACACGTTTGGAAACCCAGATTTTTGAGGACACGTGATCAGACACCCCCTCCCCATTTCCCCCCCTAACTACTTATGGAACAGTGGCACAGAAAGAACAAGCATGATCTGGCAAGTCCCCCAATTTCAATCCCCCCCCAAAAAAAAACAGAAGAAAGAGAAAGATGCAAGCTGTGATACATCTAAGCATCAAACCCTTCATATGCCATACAGTGACAACAACACTGACTGTCCTTGCAGGGTTGTTGTAAAGAGTAGTGATGACAAAATGACACATGAAGCTGAAGCAGTATGGGTGTGACGGAGAAAGAGATCTGGATTAGGGCTGTGGTTAACCCCCATATCCTGTACTGTTTCCTTGACTGGAAATACACATGGCAAGTCGCTTCAAGCCTTCATATGTCTTTCCCTCCCCTCCCAGCTGGGCCTTTAAAGCTCAGTAGAGAGGGAGTTTTGGTCAGAGAAGTGACACTAGCGCCAGAGCCCCAGTTTACCCCGGGTCCCCCCTGCGGTTCTTTTTAAAAAGCCAAACAACATACCCAGCAACCCAGTCCTGGAATGCAAAGATCATGGAGGGAGAGGCCACAGCTTAGTAGCAGATGATCTGCTTGACGTGCAGGTCTCAGGTTCAATCCCTGCCATCTCCCGTTTAAAGGATCAGGTAATAAGTGATGTGAAAGACCTCTACCAAAAGCCTTGGAGAACCACTGTCAGTCTGAGTAGACGATACTGACTTTGATGGACCAAGGGTCTGATTCAGTATCTGACAGCTTCATGTATGTAACCTGCCCCTCTGGGGGAAATGTATATGAAATGCTTGAAAGAGGAGAAGGCCTTCCACAGGGACAAGTCATTCCGATGCTGTGTGGGAGCACACATCTGGGAGAGGGGACCACCTTCCCTGGGCCTGCTGTGGTCCCTGTGATGGCAGCACTGGCAGAGGTGTTATCACCAGAAAGGGCATGTACTATCAAGATGCTGCCCTCGGATCTATGGTAGCTCCCCCTCCATTGAGACATGAGTCTTAAGAGTTTTTGTGCTTCGGATGCTTCTCTGTGCAGCAAACAGAGGGCTCTCCAGCCTCTGCCTGAAGACCTTTAGGGGGGGCCTTTGAGGAGGAGTTTTTGCAGTGGAGAACTAACAGGTGTGAAAGCGGTCGAGCACCCTCCCACCTACTCTGTGACAGACAGGCACTATCTTTCTGGATATCTCACTCATGACAATACTTTTAAACCTTGTGAAAAACATATCAAGAAGTCCTGAAGTGGTGATGGAGGAGAAAACACACGTCGGAACAGAAATATAGATCTAAATAATTAGCCCAAAAAAGAGATCTTGAACCTTTTTTAAATTGGCAGGTCTGACCTCATAGATACCGTATTATGTGTTATACATATAATTTTATGAAATAAACGGATTATAAAAACTAAGAAAATGAAGTCCTGTAGTGGAAATTGTCACCCTTACTTGAGGCATGCAAAATGCTAGCCAGCCTGTTATTTTGACTTCTTGCACAGGCTTTGCTGGAAATCAAGGTTAAAAAAACCTCTTGCTGTAGTTTCTAAGAGATAAGTGAGTATTTTGGATAAAAGAGAGCAAGAAGAAAAGGACGGTGGGGATTCTGAGGGGATATTCTCAAGGGAACTGAAAAACCGTGCTGCCATGCCGATGTGAAATATATTTCTAAGAGACATGTTTTCTGGAACCCAGAGAGCCAGTTTGGTGTAGTGGTTAAGAGCAGCGGACTCTAATCTGGAGAACCGGGCTTGATTCCCCACTCCTCCTCCACATGAAGTCACAGCTGGGTGACCTTGGGTCAGGCACAGCTCTCTCAGAGCTCTCTCAGCCCCACCAACCTCACAGGGTGTCTGTTGTGGGGAGAGGAAGGGGATTGTAAGCCACTCTGAAACTCCTTTGGATAGTGAAGGGGGGTATAAAACTAACTCTCATTCACATCTTCCTCCTCCTCCTCCTCCTCCTCCTCCTCCTCCTCCAAGGACAGCATTGCCATAGAAAGGTGATATGCAACAACTCATTCTCCCTTGTAACTACTTCACCCCTGGATCTGACACTTATCTTGACAAATGTTTATTTAGGAACACATTTGCTTATTTCTCTTCCATGTGACAGCCCTTCCAGTATTTGAGGAATCAAAACTTCCCTCAGTCTTCTCCCGGTTACCACATCCAGTTCCTTTAACCCTTCCTCACAGAACTCCTTTTCCAGGTTGAGGGTCTGGAAAACAAGCCCTACAAGGAAAGGCTGGAGGAACTGGGTGTGTTTAGCCTGTAGAAGAGAAGAGGGAGAAAAGAGATGACTGCGCTCTTCAGATCCCTCCAGGACTGTCATACAGAAGTAGGGGAAAGAGCTGTTCTCCGCTGCTCCAGAGGGCAACTCTAGATCTAACGGGCTTAAATTGCAGGAGGGAAGATTTCAAGTAAACATCTGGAGGAAATCCCTAACAAAGGAGAGCTTCATGGGGAAGCCAGTTGACCTGGGTTGGTGGTTGGTTGGGGAAATCCCCACTTTGCAATTTCTCTCCTGCTTCCTCCACTGTACCTTCCTCGGTGCGGCACTCCATGCTGGCGATGTCCACGTAGCTCTTGCCATATAGGACGGGCAGCAACTGGGACCCGACGAGGGGGTTTTGGAAGCTGCCTTCCTCCAGCTTCCCAAGCAGGGCAGCCATGCCGTTGGGGCACTCCGGCTCCTTGTTCTTCACCCCCGCCGCAATGAGGAACTATGTCAGAAAGGGATGGAATGGATGAAACAGACTGGGAGCAAGAAGCCGTACTTGAGCTCTGATGATTGGAAGGCTTCTAAAGCTGAGCAGAGCAAAAGGCAATCTTATGGGACAACTCTCAGCTGGGGAAGGCAGTAAAACCAGCTGTCTCTTAGATTTACCACTGAAATGACAGACGTGCATACCAACGAATCAAGTGCTGGCTTGGCTGTCACTCTTACCCCTCCCCCATGCTTCAGGAAGGCTGGTGGCTTTTTCATTTTTAAAAGCAGCAGCCCACGGCTGCTCATGTGTCCATCCGTTCGTCTCTTGCCTAATTAAATGAGGGCTCCAACATTAAGTTGGCCAGATTCATTGAATAAGTACCTTTCAGTCAATAAACAAAGTGCCTGAAATGAACTGGGCACCGGATTTAGGCTTTAGAAAGTATTCTTCTTTTAAAAATGCAATTACTTCTAAAAGCAGTGGATGGCAAGTGCTCTTTGACTAAGTAGCTTTTCAGCATCTTCCATGTAACACACAAAGGCACAGAGGGGATGCAGGCACAAGTCTTGGCTCTTCCTACCAAAATGGCAGCCAGACTCATTTGTGGTCGATTCTTGAGCCTCTCCTAAGGACATAAAAAGGTACCCCGCTGCACATGTACCCTCCTCCTCACCTGCACTGCCAGGGGGCTGCTGTAGATGTTCCCAAAAGTCCCATTGGGAGTCTGAGCTTGGAAGATCTTCTTCTTCACTCTTCCGACTGCCTGGTTGAGCTCTGCCACCAGCTCAGGTGTGTAGAAGGTGGCTCGTTCCAAGCAGACAAAGGCTAAACCAGCCATCGCTTCTGTGTCTGGGTGAAGGAGAACAAGGCAATGGGGGACGGGGGTGGGATGGAGGGATGCTTCTAGCCTGACCCTAGAGTGCAGATCAGTCATTCACAGTCAGTCACACAGACAACAGAAACACCTGGTGGGAAGGCAAGTCTGGCTGAGGGGGCCTTCCTCTTCCTCTGCAGGTGGCGATGGTGGGGTAGATGCTGGGGTTCCAAGGCTAACTGGGAGCCCCTTACTGGAGTGGTCCCAGGCAATGTTCCCTCTACGATGTAGAGCCTTGTGAGCAAAAATTCTACCTTGTGAGCTACGGGCATTAAAGTTGTGAGTGAGCGATTTGCCTACTGCATAAATCAGTTTGCTCTGGAGCCGTCCTTGCTGAGCTGAGACAAAAAAGTGTGAGCCAGAGGCTAAAAAACTGTGAGCTAGCTCACACCAACTCAGCTTAGAGGGAACACTGGTCCTAGCAAGCTGGATAAGACTTTCCACCTGGTTTTTGCTCAGCCCTTTGTTTAATCTAGGCTTGCAATTCCATTCTCAACACAATTTGAATGCATACTTATGGCTGAACTGGGGACCACAATCTCCATAAGCAATTGTGCATGTGCATAGAGAGTGAATCCAGAATATAAAGGTAGGGCCTTGATGTAGGGATCCCAAGAGACTGTGACAATCTTGCTTAGGAATTTGGGTGTGGGGAACAGCAAAGCAGCTTTTAGAGGTACCCTGGAGACACCTGGAATAATTTAGGACTTGGTCCAGCGTGATTGTTCATGTCACCTGGGTAGATGACCTTGGGGAGCCCTCGCAGTTTATGCCCCCAGCCCCCCCCCCACACTTCTTGTTGGTTAATCAGATCC